TCTACGCAACAAAATTATTTTGGAATAATGGCTATTATTCCGAAATAGCTATGCATGCATCTACACAGCAATTCTGTTATTTTGAAATAATTTCAGAATAATGCATGGCTTATTCTGACTTCTGTAAGCCTCATTCTATGAAGAATAACGTCTCTTCCAAAATAACTATTTCGAAATGAGGCATATGTAGACGCTCCACTTAGGCTATTTCGAAATAGCCCCTCAACGGAGCCATTCTAAGTTATTCCTCCAGGGGCTCTAAATCGAGATAGCACGTCTGCATCAGAGAACCCTGCCTTGGACTAAATTTGAGGCTTCCCTGCACTGTATACGTGCTATTCTGAAATAAGATAAGTGTAGACATAGCCTAAGGTGCCACAGGACTACTCATTGTTTTTAAAGTTGCAGACTAACATGACTAAATTTTACATGTGGGCCAGGCCAAATCCACGTTTAGGAACTTAAGCAAGTGATTGGATTTGCTGAAGTGCTGAGAACTCACAAACTTCCCTTTAAGGAAATCCCTTCTTGTTTGAATCAGAGATCAGAATCTGCACCTTAAAGACTGATCTGTAGGTCACCAGCATTCACGGGTCTGAACTGCAAGCAGGCATTTTTATGTGCACAGACCCATTACATCTCCCCTCAGGACACTGCTGTGCAAATGTTTTAGCTTTTCATACAGTTTGTACCGGTTTGGCCCAGTTTTAAATAACTGGTTTTCAGTGGCCTTTGGTTTCTTCATGAACCAGGGTCATGGAATTTTCCTGTGGCTCTAAATGGAACTTTTCAACATGCAATTGCTTATGCAAATTGAAATGCTGCTCCCACTCCAGTTTCTGGATTGGAATGTGCAAATATCAAAGTTTTCATTTCCCTCTGCAAGAAGCCAGGGCTTTCGGGACAGATCTTTAGCTACTACACCAGTTTACACCAATGGAAAATCTGACTCATTGACTTAAATGGGAGATAGTCATGGTCTGCCATTAGGAAGAGAGAACGCAGAAGGAGATATCCAATGGGCCTTGTTTAAGTTCTATAGACAAGTCCTGTTTTGTTTGTGATCCTGATTAGCTTGTCCTGAGTCCAAGCTTCTGAAAGCTGATGACTTAAATAAATCCTCAACTGTCAGTCTGAAAATGTTTCCTCTGATGAACTGCTACATGAAAGATTGTTGTAATGGAAAGAGATTGGAGGAAAAACACGTAGGCTACGTCTAGACTGGCATGATTTTCCGCAAATGCTTTTAACGGAAATGTTTTCCGTTAAAAGCATTTGCGGAAAAGAGCATCTAGATTGGCACGGATGCTTTTCTACAAAAGCACTTTTTGCGGAAAAGCGTCCGTGCCAAACTAGACATGCTTTTGCGCAAAAAAGCCCTGATCGCCATTTTCACAATCAGGGCTTTTTTGCGCAAAACAAATCTGAGCTGTCTACACTGGCCCTTTTGCACAAAAGCTTTGCGCAAAAGGACTTTTGCCCGAACAGGAGCAGCATAGTATTTCTGCAAGAAGCACTGATTTCAGACAGTAGGAAGTCAGTGTTCTTGCGGAAATTCAAGCGGCCAGTGTAGACAGCTCACAAGCTTTTCCGCAAAAGCAGCTGCTTTTGCGGAAAAACTTTCCAGTCTAGACACAGCCAAATTGTTTAATTAGGGCTATTTTTTGGTATATTTTCCTTTGTAGAAAAAACAAAAGTGTTCACTTTCCTGTTTTTCTTCATGTTCACATTCCAGGCCAGATGATTTCTGGGTCTGTCTGCCACCAATAGTGTCTGAAAGCATCCTAGAGAGATAATTCCTCTGTCCTTAGAAAGAGGTAGAGCCTAATATGACAAAAGTGCCACCTCCCTAAAAGAGCCAGGAGAGGCAAGAAGGTGGTCACAAGGGGTCCGTCTACACTGTACCATATCTCGAAATAAGACACAAATTGCATATCTTGTTTCGATGCTATTTCAAACTAGCTTATTTTGTCATTTGGCGCTGTTTGCACGTATTTAGAAATAACCCGCTATTCCAAAATGTCCCTTACTCCTCATAGAATGATGTTTACCGGGACATCGGAATAGTGAGCCCAAAATAATGAGCTTGCTGTGAAAACGTGGGCTAGCTATTTCGGGATACTCCAATATCCCGAAATAGCATTGCAGTGTAGACGCACCCAAGAAGAGGGACATTCCAGTGAATAGGCTATAAACTGGGGCAAAGGGTGAAGATTAGTAGGGAACCAGAGACTAGGCAAAGTGGGTGGAATAAATTAGTGTTTATCATACTGCCATCTCCTCAAGCACTGAGGCAACTCACCTTTCTGCTACCTTACCAGCTGTTCCAGCTTCCTGAATTGCAAATGGAAACAGCTAAAAAGCAAACACACACACAGAGTTTAATCATATTAATCATTACCAGAGCAGAAATGCCATGAACTTGCACTTATTCCCACTCCGTGAAGGCTACTTCTGTGTAACTCCTAGGTGAAACACAGAAGCCTCGTGTTATTTTGGGACTAACTTATGGATGTCTCTGGCATTATTGTATATGACAAGCACATACGTGATTTTCCATGCTGTCCATCAGGTTTGGGAAGAGGTCCCTATAAACATCCACAAAGCACCACATGGTCCACCTCCAAAATGTCTCCGATAAAACTCTCCTGGACTATGAGCGCCTACAGCAGACTTCATAGTGCTTAGGCCATTGCTGTGCTGATACTACTGCTGCTCATGCTGGCTAGGACTGGCTCCTCATCTCCTTGCTCTCCCTAATCACTCTGTATCCCTCTTGCCTTACACTTAATTTGTAAGCACGATGGGACAAGGGTCATCTTTTTCTGTGTGTTTGTACAGTGCCAAACACAATGGTTGCGTCTAGACTGGCATGATTTTCCGCAAATGCTTTTAACGGAAAAGTTTTTCCGTTAAAAGCATTTGCGGAAAAGAGCATCTAGATTGGCACGGACGCTTTTCCACAAAAGCCGTGGCCAATCTAGACGCATGTTTGGGCAAAAAAGCCCCAATCGCCATTTTCGCGATCGGGGCTTTTTTTGTGGAAAACAAATCTCAGCTGTCTGCACTGGCCTTTTTTCACAAAAGTTTTGCACAAAAGGGACTTTTGCCCGAACGGGAGCAGCATAGTATTTCCGCGAAAAGCACTGATTTCTTACAGTAGGAAGTCAGTGCTTTTGTGGAAATTCAAGCGGCCAGTGTAGACAGCTGGCAAGTTTTTCTGGAAAAGCGGCTGATTTTCTGGAAAAGCTGGCCAGTCTAGACACAGCCCAAAAGTGCAATGCAAAAGCAATGCGCTTTTTCAAAAGATAGCTTCCGCATTCATTGGACGCTCTCTCGCATTTCAGTTGTGATTACTATGGATGGAGTGGCCACCAGGGCACCTGTGCTTTTTCCTGGAGGCCTCTTCTCTCGAAAAAAAAAATTCTCTTCCGTGTCCACACACGCCTTTTTCTGAAAAAGGCTTCTTCCTCATAGAATGAGGTTTACCGCTGTTGAAAAAACGCCTCCATTCTTTCGACTTTCCGTCAAAAGAACACAATAACAGTGTGGATGTAAGTATTGTTTTTCTGGAAAAACAGCCATTTTTCCAGAAAACTCTGCAGTTTAGACTTACTCTGAGGGTGAAATGGGATTTTTTCCATTGTTGTGAATGGGGCTGGGTAAGCTTCTACAGCTGACTGAAGTAAGTGGAAAGATTCCCACTGATCCCAGTGAGCTTTGGATAGAGCAAAGCCAAATTCAGGGTGTGTCTAGACTACTGAGTTTTGTCAACAAAAGTGGACTTTTGTTGACAAAACTATACCTGTGTCTACACTACCGCTGAGTTCTGTCGACATAACGTCGACAGAACTCAGCAGTTTTGTCGACGCTGGTAAACCTCATTTTACGAGGCATAACACCTTCTGTCGACAGAGTTCTGTCGACAGAAGGTGTTATTGCCTGTAGGGTTGCGTCTAGACTACAGGGTTTTGTCGACAAAGCAGCTTGCTTTGTTGACAGAACCGAATGTGTCTAGACGCTCTATGTCGACAGAAATTTTGTTGACAGTATCTGTCGACAAAACTTCCGTCGACAAAACCGTGTAGTCTAGACGTACCCTCAGAGAACACCTTTACATAAGAACATAAGAACGGCCGTACTGGGTCAGACCAAAGGTCCATCTAGCCCAGTATCCTGTTTGCCGACAGTGGCCAGCACCAGGTGCCCCGGAGGGGGTGGACTGAAGACAATGATCAAGCAATTTATCTCCTGCCATCCCTCTCCAGCCTCTGACAAACAGAGGCCAGGGACACCATTTTATCCCCTGGCTAATAGCCTTTTATGGACCTAACCTCCATGAAATTATCTAGCTTCTCTTTAAACTCTATTATAGTCCTAGCCTTCACAGCCTCCTCTGGCAAGGAGTTCCACAGGTTGACTACATGCTGTGTGAAGAACTTTCTTTTATTAGTTTTAAACCTGCTACTGAGCTTTAGCTGGGACATGTCTTAGCAGCAGGGCCTGTGTTTAACTATCCTTTTTACACGCTCATTCCCAAATGTTGTGCATGTGTCTATGGTATTGTCCTACTTTACAGCATGGTCCAAAGAGTCCTAACATTGAACAAACACCTTAATCATATTAAGGGTACTCTTAGAGCAGAAGGGAAGATGACAGAGCTTCCTGGCCTCCTTCTGGGAGGAGACAGCTACCTCCATCTATCCAGATGGATGGGAACGTGGAGATGGGGCAGGAGACACTGAGGGGTGGGTGCAAGAGATCAGAGGGAGGGCTGCTACTAACCCCTCACTGCTTCGTGTTATGTCCCCTTCAACGTGGATGCAGGGCAAATAGATTCTCACCGTGGGTCTCATCCTTCCAGCTTTTTCTTCTTTTTGATGCCTCCCAGGCAAGATGTAACTCAAATTGAGGACTATAGAGGGCTATTTCCAAGCCTATATGGTTGGCTAAAACTTTACCTTTACCCCAGCAGAACACACACACTCATAGGTCAGCACTGTGATGTCACAACAGCTTTTATTAAATGGGACGTTGCAATCTTTGGTCAACTACAGATACTGTCCTGTTTGGATTTCTCCAGCACACATGGCTCTGATCAGCTCAGATGAACTTCAGACTGCCCTTGAAGCAGGATCTAACACTTTTAGAGGTGAGAAGGTGCACCAGACTCCCAGAGATCCTGCCTGAACCGTCCGCAGGACTGTCAGCCACGACTTCTGCACAGGGAAAAGAGATGATCAGATACTTTGCTCACACCCATAACTATGAGAAATTACTTTTAATTCCAATAAAAAAGCAGAGGCAAAATTGTCCCATGAGTGCAGATATTCTTGGTTAATACTGATTTTCCCTGCTGCTGTGCACTGTTACAAAGTTGTAGCTTTCATGTGTTTAAACAAATGAACTGGCTGCCAATTTGGCATGACAGGCAAACACAGACTTCTGAACATGGACGCCTACTCACCTGCCTCTAACTCTCTAGTCAGTGAGGACCATTCTCTCATTTTTTTTTAAATGCTACTAAGTGCATTTTGTAAAGTTAAAATGTTGACCAGAACATAGTAAATTCAGCTGTAGATTAAGAGGATTGCACCAGTTATACCTGATTCATATAGTCAATTCTTCCTCTTAATGAAGACAACCCACAAGACTCTTAATGTTGCCTACCTGGCTCAGGCCACATAGCAATGGTATTTAATAGCTTTGAATAATTTTATATTGGGATATATCTTGCAAGTCTCTCTTTCTCTCTTTTGGGCTCGTCTACACTGGACCCTTTTCCGGAAGGGGCATGTTAATTTCAGCTATCATAGTAGGGAAATCCGCGGGGGATTTAAATATCCCCCGCGGCATTTAAATAAAAATGTCTGCCGCTTTTTTCCGGCTTTTAGAAAAGCCGGAAAAGAGCGTCTACACTGGCCCCGATCCTCCGGAAAAAGCGCCCTTTTCCGGAGGCTCTTATTCTACTTCAAAGTAGGGTTCAAAGTAGGAATAAGAGCCTCCGGAAAAGGGCGCTTTTTCCGGAGGATCGGGGCCAGTGTAGACGCTCTTTTCCGGCTTTTCTAAAAGCCGGAAAAAAGCGGCGGACATTTTTATTTAAATGCCGCGGGGGATATTTAAATCCCCCGCGGATTTCCCTACTATGATAGCTGAAATTAACATGCCCCTTCCGGAAAAGGGGCCAGTGTAGACGTAGCCTTTATGTCTACACTGCAGAGTATTTCTGGAAACACGGCCGTTTTTCCAGAAAAACTATACTTACATCCACACTGTCCTTGCGTTCTTTCCACAGAAAGTGGAAAGAATGGAGGGTTTTTTCCAACAGCGGTAAATCTCATTCTACAAGGAAGAAGCTTTTCTCTGAAAAAAGCTTTTTTAGAAAAAGGCATATGTGGACGCGCAAGAGAGTGTTTTTTTGAAAGAAGAGGCCTTCAGGAAAAAGCACAGGTGCCCTCATGGCCACTCCATCCACAGTAATCACAGATTAAACGTGAGATGGCATCCAATCAATGTGGAGGCTATCTTTCGAAAAAGCAAATTGCTTTTTTCATTGCGCTTTTGCTGTGTGGATGCTCTCTTCTGAAAGAAGTTTTTCTGGAAGATCTCTTCTGGAAAAGCTTCTTCTGAAAGAAGCCTGCAGTCCAGATGTAGCCCCCCCCCCCACATCCTCAAAATTCGGAGGTGTTTATTTGTTCTGTACTACAGCTGTAAAGCTCCAAAATTCTGCCTGTTTGCAAAGAGCAGCCACTTTGGTCTCAAAGTAGATAGAGGCTTGTACAGAGCAGTGGACTGATATCCTGAGCTCTCACCTGGGAACCTGGCTTTAGTTCTTCCATTTTGGAATAGGGAACACAAACAATTTATACAGTGGGATTGTTTCAGGGCCCACCCTGTGCTTGTACACTCTGCTCTACCCATCCAGAGAGGTGTAAAGCAACGTGCCAGGCTGAGGAAGCGTTACATCCATGCATCAGCAACACAGAGTCGTTGCAACTGGCTCTACGCTGCTTGTCTTGCAAGCAATAGTGTACAGGGAATGCTAGGGATGGATTTGGGAGTAGTCAGGTCTCAGAGGGGCAATCTCTACAGCACTGGGGCTTCTGGGGATGTTCCATGGACCTGGCCATAGGCAGTCTGGGTAACGCAGGAGTAAGAGTAGACGATATGGTTATTCCCACGTAGGCTGAGGGCATTACAATGCCAATGCATCTGTGTAAACAACAGCTTGGATATGGAAGGGAGAGGAACACCCATTTCTGCTCATGCAGGAATGTCTCTGTAGTGGATTTGTTAACTTACCGCAAGCAGCAGAAGCCCCGTGTGACACACTTCCCAAAGCGTCTAGTATAGCGGGGACAGGGCAAGAGGCATTCGCCCCCAAAGCGTCCGCACTGCGACGGGGTCCAAATACTCTGTGCCAGGCCTGCACAAAGAATGGGTCTTACTTATAATTCATCAAAGCAGAAGGACTAAGGGGTTGTTATTTTAGCATGGCAGGCGTTGCCTCTTGCCTGGATGTCACATTCCCTGCAAGCTGGCTCAATCAGCACCATTCTTACCACCTAGGGCCCAGCGTTACCAGCTGTAATGCTACAGAAAGGGCTGTAGTTCTGGGTATACCCAGAAGCAGCCTCAAAACAGAGAGCAGAGCAGGTTCATTAAATGGGGGCAGGGGAGCTGAAAGCCACGCTGGGCCCCTCGGTAAGGTGTGGGGTGCCTGGCTCCATGCTCCCAGAAGGGGCGGGGCCTCACAAGGAAGGGGCAAGGCTGAGAGCAGCCAGCCCTCAGTGCCACCCGGACCATGACCCCTCCGGCACTACCTGGAGCATTCTACGTGGTGCCCCGCCTCTCTAGGCAGCGCAAAAAGTGCCATGGTGGTGATTTAAAGGGCTCAGAGCCCAGACCCTTTGAATTAATGGGTCCTGGTGCAACAGCCCCCTTTGCCACCTGTTCGTGGGTCTGGATGGGGCTTTGGCTCATTGGGTGTATTTAAGAACTAACTCGGAGCTTGGGTGTCCTTCAGTGCTCCACAAATCTATGGGATGAAATGCTGGCAGCTGCTTGCACCAGACTTCCCTACTGGCTGCTGCTCTGGGTGGGATTCTTCAGGGCTCCTAAGACCAATGCACCAGGAAAATTGTGATAACTGCTCTGCTACTGAGTAGGTAGCACTAGGTTGGCTGGCTACCATGTAAGACACAGAGGGGTTTGCTCAAGTTCTTTCCAGAGGGAATGCTAGCCTGAGAGACCCTGCACACAGTGAAAACTCAGCCCTCTTCAATAGTTTCTTTATGACCAGTCACCAGCTTTACATGACCAGTCGCCAGTTTTATGACCAGTCCCCAGCTTTACATGTACCACACAGGCCAGTCCCGTGGAATAAGCAGACACAATTTCTATTGCCTCAGCCTTTAGGGTACCTGGGTGAAAATATTTAAGTGGAGGTAGCTGTGCTTTCACAGAAGTACTCACAACATAAGAATAAGAACATAAGAACGGCTGTACTGGGTCAGACCAAAGGTCCATCTAGCCCAGTATCCTGTCTGCCAACAGTGGCCAGCACCAACAGATATAAATGCAAGACCTCTACTGACGCGCTGACATTTCTGCATGTTCTGTCTCTCAACATGGATACAATCCAGCACATGATTAGAGGGCTGGAACACATGAGGCTGAGGGAACTGGGCTTATTTAGTCTACAGAAGAGAAAGGAGGAAGGGATTTGCTAGCAGCCTTCAGCTACCTGAAGGGAGTTTCCAAAGGGAATGGAGCCAGGCTGTTGTCGGTGGTGGCAAAAGACAGACCAAGAAGCAATGGTCTCAAGTTGCAGTGAGGGAGGTCTAGGTTGGATATTACGAAGCACTGGAATGGGTTATGTAGAGAGGCGTGGAATCTCCGTCCTTAGAGGATTTTAAGGCCAGGCTTGAAAAATTGCCAGCAGAAATGATTTAGTTAGGGTTGGTCTTGCTTGGAGCAGGGGGTTGGACTAGTTAACCTCATGAAGTCTCTTCCAACTCTAATTTTCTATGCTTTTATGATTCCCCCCAAATGATATCATTTCCAGGAATCAATCCAAGCACATGATTGTTTCTGAGAAACAGTGTGGGTAAGACAAAGGTCTGCCGTATTAGCGATCTAGCCTGTTTTCTCACATTGCCCTATCTCTGCTTGGGGCATGAGGCCTTCTTTACACTGTCAAGACAATGAGGGATTAGGTCTAGTCAGCAGAACTTCAGACTGTGATTTTCAGTCCAGCCCAGAGCAACTTAGGAAGGAACAATCAGTTCCATACATACAAGATGGGAAGCGACTGTCTAGGAAGGAGCATGGCGGAAAGGGATCTAGGGGTCATAGTGGACCACAAGTTGAATATGAGTCAACAGTGTGATGCTGTTGCAAAAAAAGCAAATATGATTTTAGGTTGTATCAACAGGTGTGTTGTAAGCAAAACTCGTGAAGTCATTCTGCCGCTCTACTCTGCGCTAGTTAGGCCTCAGCTGGAGTACTGTGTCCAGTTCTGGGCGCCACATTTCAAGAAAGATGTGGAGAAATTGGAAAGGGTACAGAGAAGAGCGACAAGAATGATTAAAGGTCTAGAGAGCATGACCTATGAAGCCAGGCTTCATGAACTGGGCTTGTTTAGTTTGGAAAAAAGAAGATTAAGGGGGGACATGATAGTGGTTTTCAAATATCTAAAAGGGTGTCACAAGGAGGAAGGTGAAAATTTGTTCCTCTTGGTTTCTGAGGACAGGACATGGAGTAATGGGCTTAAAGTGCAGCAGGGGAGGTTTAGATTGGACATTAGGAAAAAATTCCTAACTGTCAGGGTGGTCAAATATTGGAATAAATTGCCAAGGGAGGTGGTGGAATCTCCCTCTCTGGAGATATTTAAGAACAGGTTGGATAGACATCTGTCAGGGATGGTGTAGACGGAGCTTGGTCCTGCCTTGAGGGCGGGGGGCTGGACTCGATGACCTCTTGAGGTCCCTTCCAGTCCTATTATTCTATGATTCTATGATTATGGTAGACAGAGGATTAATTTTTTCTTTCTCCTATCTGGATGTTCAGTTTTGTGATTCATGCAGTAGCAACAGTATGTTCAGGGCAGATACAATATTGGGGATATTTGCTGGCAATCCTCTAGTGATAGGTAAAATCACACTCAGGAATTGAGAGTTTTGCAGTGGGTTAGAATTCAGCCAGATCTAAATGGATTTTTATGATCACAACAAAGATATTCATGGGACCTAATTCCCCTGCCACATGTCCAGTGTCTGTTGCAAACTCTGCCACCGTTAGAATCTTCAGAAAAAGAGTTTAAAAAATGTTACAATGCTAAGTTCTAGGCAACCTTAATAAAGACTTGCCAAGACCCCTCTATGAGATCCTTGATTTTACTGGGATCTTACCGGGTGCAACTTGGAACACCAAGAGAGCAGTGAAGAGAAGGCAAAGGATCTTCATGGCTGTACTTTGGCTGGGAACTCAGTGTCACTAGAAAGAAAAGATGGACAGGAAACGGAGAATCCCTGTGAAGATAGAAAGATTGCCTATAAATAAATGACATAATATGTGTGCTGCAATCTATTCATAATCATATTTATTATTTATTTATATACTATGAGAGGTGGTGCAGGAGTATTTTGGGGAAAGAGAATTCTGTTGCAAAAGATACATTTTAAAACACAGGATGGGTGTGCAATATTAATTAGCTTGTTATTCACATCGGGTTTCTCGCATTTGTTTAGATTGCTGTTCTGTAACCAAAACACAAATGGAAATATTGCACATTAATTAGTTTTATTAGCCAAAATGGAATTGAAAGCAATTAGATTACAGACAGCATACAAATGGTTAAATAATGGTGCTTGTGAAATCTACTAGAATGAATTCAACATGATATTGGATATGTGACAATCGATCAAGAAGGCAGATACTGAATCAAAGCAATTCATAGAGTTCCTCTCTTTTCATAGCAAACTTTATCTTGGTTTTACAATACACTTGGTAAATGATGTTAGTATAAATATGGAACGATGAATCCATAAATGTAGATTTCTATCAATTTCTAATTAAGCAATGTTTGGCAGTGGAATTATAGAACTCCCTGTGGCATTCAGCTAATCAGCTCCAAAAGTGAGATTTAGACATTTAGACAAGTCACTTAGGCCGTGTCTACACTACATGGAAGATCAGCGCTGTCTCAGTTAGTCTTCCGAGGTTCAATTTAGCAGGTCTAGTAAAGACCTACTAATTTGACCTGAGAGGGCACCCTTGTGGCACTCCTGTTCCTCGTGAGGAATAAGGGAAGCCCCGTTGACCTCCTGCTCTGTGGAGAGCACAAAAATGCAAATTAAGATATGTAATTAACATAGCTGGAGTTGCCTATCTTAAGTTGACCTTCCCCTTTAGTATAGATCTGGCATTAGTGACTAAGGAGGTTCATCTAATTAATTCAGATTTTGAACCCTAAATATAATGGGCAATTATTGAAACTATTTTAATGTGACT